CTTAAGTATGAAGGATGCTTCTAAGGCGGTGTATGTAGTGTTTACGGATCTAATCTCATTGGGAAGTTAAATGGGATAAGAATTGATGTGTTTACGTCCAAATAAGGGCTTTGATTTGTGTTCACGGTCACCTCTTGACCGTGAACACCATTTGATCTTTTAAATTCATCCGTGAACACTATGATCCTTATCCTTTTAGTCCGTGAACACAAAGATCATTATCCATTTTGGACCGTAAACACAAAGATCCTTGGATCTTTGGACCGTGAACACCATTTGTTCACTTTATGAATTCGTAAACTCCATGTTCTAGAAGTCTAGGACCGTAAACTCCATTGTGTTGGGGTATTTTGTGTTTTAACTTTCATACTTTGACTAATCTTGACTTATATTGTGTTATAAATGTGTAGTTTTTAATATAAGTGTTCATAACTTATAAATAAGTATGATAGCAAAGTATGCCTCCTTGGTATTTAGAGTTCTCATTGTGTGATGGTTATGATGTTAATTCACTTGCGTACAATTGTAGCTTAGGCTTCTATTCGAATAAGCCCAACTTACATTGATTTGAAATTAAGGGTTGTTACATATACTACTTCAGGAATTCCTTGGCAGCAGGTTTTAGTCAATAAAGGCAAACATTAGGGGATAGAGTACACGAATAAAACTACGATCCATTTTTACTAGATTAGTATGATTCATTAACACCATAAGAGTAAGTTTAGTTAGGTTTGGCCATCCATACTTCGTCAGATGACTCAGACATACCTATCAGTGATCTAATACAGATGCACCTTATATGGTTGTCTAAAAGGAGGGGAAATACTAATATAGTACTCCTGTATGCACTCGTACCCCATCAAATCACAAGTCTAAACGACAAAATCTCTAATCTCCATTCTAATCTCACACACACTCTTAATATGATGCTACCTAATATTCAAACTTAATTGAACCAAGTATTGCCTTTACGTCTTAGTGTATAACTAGATAATATTACAATACCCGTAATCAATACAACTTTCCTACCGATGAAATATATTTACATACAGGGTATCACTTACATTCTTTCAACTTAACCCGATCTAAGCATCCTTTATAAGTCTTATTTTATCACTAGACAAGACTATGATGTGTGTAACCATTTTTGAAACCTTTTCCCTGGTTATAAAGTATTAATCGTAATACAACGTATAGTTACACTTTTATGGGATCTAAAAATCATTTAGACGTCTTAGTTTAAAAGTTCAACTAGACTATAATCTAGGAAATGAAGTTTCAACGACAACCTTATTTAGATTACACTATCATAAATCAGTGTATATACTTAACACAAAATATCTGGTATTTAACACATTAATTTTTTAAGTAATAATACCTTTGTTAAGAATATCATGTAATAATACCATATATACACTTAACATATATTTAACAATATCTGGCTCAAACAATGTACATTATCAAACGTAAATTTAACGCATATTCCATAAAATAAGCAATTAATTAATGTATAAACTTTCAACATATATTTAATACTTTTAATAAATACTTGTATTAAAATCATATTTAGGAATTAACTATGCACTCACCTGATACAGGTGGAAGACTCGCGTGAAAGTCAACTCTTTTTTCTGACACTTCAAATTTCCCTTTAAAACAACATAAACACGTATATGGCTAAGTCTTAGTATTCGTTCGTATTTATAAAGTTAAATCGTTATAATCTTTTTCTCATATTTATTAATAATCCAAAAAGAAATACTAACTTATAGCTTATAAGAAACAACCTGGTAAGATCATATCGAAGGTCGGATCCGTTTGGCATATAAAGATATACTGTTTGGAAAAACCCCTTTATACACCTCACATATCTGGCCTAGACATTATTCTTCGTAAGTGGATCGATCAGTATAACAAGTGTTATTACCGATTAATCTTATTTATAAGTTCATAATAATGACCACGAACATAAATATATGTTGTACTTAAAGCGTAGTAAGTGCAGCTTAAATTAATGGGTTTTTTTAACAGAAGTTCTGAAAGTTCGCGGGCAGAACTTCCACACTGAATACTTCTTTTTGTCGAGCTTTCTATTATTGTAGTACTTTGTCGTGAAGACTTCATGGATCAGAAGGATAGAACTTTATATAGTGAAAGTGTTTCTAGAGAGGAACTCGGATGAGCACGGAAATGAGAAGAATAACACACTACTTATAGTAGGCTGAACGTAGGGCACCCGACGTCCTTTGAGTAGGGCCCATATTTCATCTGTATCTTCCATGTACAAGCTCCGTTTTTGATGTTCTTTATATACACACTTAGGTATTTTTGAGTACTACAATTTTCATTTGGACTCCATCGGCTAATTCTCTTTCTATCTCTCACTTACAATATGTACCGAATTCACCGTGTCTAAAGAGTGGGGACCAAGTTTCGTTCATATCTTTTGCATATGAGCTCCGTTCTCGACATTCTCTATATCGATAGGTTCGTAATTTCATGGACTTTAACTTTCTTTTATATAGTTTTCTCTAATGAGCGACGGATGTTTATTTTGTTCTTTGCGACACATAGTTATGTACTGAGTCATTATGAAAAATTATAACTTCCTCTTACGAAGTCAGGTTTGGGCGTTTTTTCTATGAAGGGTCTTGTATTCGCGATGAATACGACTCACCTTTACATTACTTTAGCTAAAAAACAACCTATCTTTAGTTTACGTTTTATGAAACACATTGTCATTTCGATTTGAGCGCGAAACTTATAAAAATCATAAGTTCCTCGTACGAAGTTAGATTTTGGTGTTCTTTATATACCCACAGAATTGCCATCACAACTACTACAACTTTTGTTAAGATTATTTATCATAAATAATCTTTTATTTTTATTGTTATTTTATTGTTTAACGATAAATTTTATACTAAGGTTTTCTACAAATATTATACCCTAATAATATTTGTTTACATATCGCGTAAACGATAAATATTACTTAGGTCATAACGCGCACGAAGAGCAATGATCCACTTTAAAGGGTTTTAATTGTTTTAATAAACGTATTATATTATTATTATTATTATACATAAAACGTCTAGCCTGAATTTGCGGACATTACATATAGTTTCTTAAATAAACCTATGTATCCAAATACAAGTAACATCATTAGGGTATTCCCTTTTCAACTCTTTAGTTAGATCATTTCTTGGTTTAGCAATAGTTTTTTCTATAAAACGTAATTTATTAGGAGCCTTTCAGGCTCTAACCATGGAGCTACGCCAAATCCTATACTTTTCAGTTCCAAAATCAACATGATCTTTTTTGTTACTACTACTACCAGAATCATCAAAACCCTCCAGAACATATGACAATTAAGAGAATAAACCACTGTCCAAAAAAAATACACAAAAATAGATAAAGTAGGCAAGCACTACACAAGAATGACTACAGTAAAAAAATTGGTGTTTAGTACCATGAATGGTTTTAGAAAAATAATTGATGTTCATTACTAGGATCCCCAAGCCTAGAAGCACAAAACGAAAAAAGATAGAGATATGCGAAAAAAAAAGCAACCCAAAACAAAGCCTGATTAGAGAAAGAGAACAATATATCTTATATCAGTCCCAAAGGCACTTTTAGAGTATCATTCAAAATTAATTAACTAATGATTGTCGGCTTGGTGGGGTTTTTAGCCGCAAACTAAGGTGCAAAGGATTAGCAGCTTATTAACCACAAACTGATGTGGAAATTCTAAATTAGGGTTTCCAGAACCCAAACCAATGTTAAGAATTTCTTCGATTGATCACCACTTTTGTCGAGATCACAGAAACAAAGGATTAACACCATTGTTAGAACTTCAGTACCGACACGCTCAGAAGAAATAACTGTAAATAAATCCAAGACTTCAAGGGGAAAAAAAAGACATATCGCTCAGATCTGAACTAAAAAGACCACCGGTATTTTAAAAAAACTAAAGAACATAAAACTTTGTGAAGATTTCGCAAAAAACGACCTTGAAATCAAACCTTAACACCAATGGACTCATATCGAATACCGATCTATGAATGCAGATGCAGACTCGCTAACCACGCTCGAGTACCATGTAAAAACTCAGGAACTCGTATTCCTAACATGATCGGTTCTCATTAGCCATAGAACACAATCATTTTACACAATACAATTACACAAAAAATCTCACTACATATACGCATTCTTCTCTCTACTAATCTAACACTCAAATATTGAACAAACAAAAAACAATACTAAAAACCCTAATACAAACTTTAGAAACCCTAACACACATAAGGAGAATGAGATAAATAATTACATGTAAGAGGCATCCTCCATATATCTAGCCTGGTTTGACAAGGACCCGAAAACCCGCTTGCCGATGTGAATTAATATTTCCATAAATCACCCTCAAGCTTTACCACTTAAAGCCTTCAACCCTTAAAGAAATAAGCTAAAACAAAACATATACAAAAAAACAATATACTAACATTTGCCGGATTCAAGTCTACCATATTTAGATGTTATATTGGCATTCAATTGTTTTGGTGTTCAATAACCTTTGAACTCTGCAATAACAAAAGAAATTTTTTTTAATTCCTAAATATATATAATAAATTAGCTTTTGTTATTGTCATTGTAGAAAAAAAAACTAATAAAGTTGTATGAAATGAAAAAAATGATGTAATAATCCATTAAACTCTACGAAACTCAATTCAATTAATTGTGGAGGACCTTCTTAGTTTGCATACAAGGACCATAATTTGTTTCCTTTAGAATCTAATAGGCTTTCATACCCCTACTTAAACCACCTGATGTAATCGGTGTTAATAAGCAATAATAAAAAGCTTTTCTATTATAAATTTATAAATACCTACTAAATTGATTATTAGTAAACTTTACATCCTCAAAAAAAATTTGTTTTCAAGGAACATCTCATTGAAAGAGATTTACGGTTAATTAAAGTAATAAAGTTGAACAAATTGTTTGAGTATATTTTAAAATGGAAGAATTTTGCCCATTCCCTTGACATTTGAGAAGAACCCCAGATCTTGCTTGTAGGGTAGATACGATTTCCTCCTAACCACTTCATTTTCAGCTCTTCTTTGCACGTAAAACAGTTCATGTACAGGAGTTTGCACCTTCAATCGGCCGGCGACTTTTAAAACCTCACCGGAATTCCGTTTCTGTTTTGTACTATTGACCTTCGTAGGAGTCAAAAGCACCACCGGTTCCTTACCCTCGCTGTTGCTCCTCCGGAGAAAAAAATACCGGATGCTCCACCTCTTCGTTCGAGATCCAGCCGAACTACTCTTCTTACATTTACTCATACAAGGTGGCGATCCACCATTAACCTTAAGCCTCCACATGCAGTATGTTTTAGAATGTAGACTTTCCGATTCTTCCTCTTCCCATGATGAATACAAAGAAGATTCTTCTCGCTCTTTTATTAACAGTTTCTGTATAGAACCAGTAATAGAAGAAGAAAGATGAAGCTCATTTTCCTTTGCTTTAGCCTCACGATCTTCCTCATCTTTCACCAGTAGATCACGATTGAAAACAGGAAAAACAGTCCCGCCTCGTGAATCTTTTTCTTCCGTTGAAACATCCTGGTCGCTTAAAACCAACGAAAACTCGAAATCGTTTACCTCTTGTTCACGGATCACTTTGGTGACTGCCATTGATGTTAAACTATCAGAAGAGTAACAAGTGAAGCTAGGAGAGACTACTGATCCTTCCATTTTCTTCTGTTGTTGCATCTTGTTGAAATATCCAGGAATCTTTTGGCTTTTTTGTGACCGAAAGAGAAGAAGTTGATGAATTATGAGATATAGGAGAATTTGGTACCAGAGGGAATTTGGTAGCAAGGGGTATTTATAAAGAGAACAAGTTAATGATAACCCTTGAAGATCTATAATTCTATTCCACTAGCTGGAAGTTGCATGTGAAAATGATGTCGCAATATGGTACGTGTTTCTCGTTATGGATTTCTTTATATATTTTATTAAAATTCAAATAATATAATAGTTTTTTTTTTTAATATGCATATCTATACAGATTACAGAATATTATGTTGATTTATTAAATTGGTTTAGCAAACGTAATTTGAAATTAATAAATCAGAATAAAAGACAGTTGACATTCTAGAAGGGTATTCTTAGCAAATCCATGACGTGGGGCTTGAGTTGTGTGGAAAGCAAGAAAGCAAATGAAACTTTGGAGACTGGCTTCGTATATCTAATTCAATATTCCATCATTATTTCTTACAATGATATAAAAAACAAATATAATATGAAACTGTTCAAATGAAAATTTCAGGACAAACTTTATAGAGTGTTTTCAGTATTTGCCCTCATATCCGGTGGAAATCAAAGCTGAGGTGTACAATTTCTTTCGATCAAAATTTTCCAAACGCTGGCCTATAAGACCGAAATTCATCAATTCTCTATTTAAGACCCTCTCCAATCAGCACCGTTCTTTTCTTGAATCCCCATTGGCTTGGTAGAAATAAAATCAGCTGTCTGGAAATGCGTTCATGAGAAGGTACCTGGCCTTGACAGCTTCACCTTCAAACTTCTCAAATCACAATGGGTATAAATAAAAAATGCGATGTAATGGCCTTCGTAAAACATTTGGAAACACACGTCACACGGTAAGCTTGCTAACGGGTGCAACTCGTCCTTCATAACTCTTGTGCCGAAAATAAAGGACCCCTTCGCTCTTGGTGATTATAGACCGGTATTCCTCATTGGTTGTATTTACAAAATCATCACCAAAGCACTAGCTTCTTGGCTCAAAACTGTGATCAGGTCGGTTATTGTTGACGCCCAATCAGCTTATATAGAAAGTAGGAACATACTCGAGGGACAACTAATCATGAATGAATTATGTTCATCGTCAAAGAAAACTAAAAACAAAATTTTCCCCTCTGTTGCCTAGGTCAAATAATATACAAAATATGAACTGACAAAATTCTTGGACCCTAATTCATTTTATTTAATATATATATATATATATATATATATATATATATATATATATATATATATATATATATATATATATATATATATATATATATATATATATATATATATATATATCAGTATAACGAGTGTTATTACCGATTAATCTTATTTATAAGTTCATAATAATGACCACGAACATAAATATATGTTGTACTTAAAGCGTAGTAAGTGCAGCTTAAATTAATGGGTTTTTTTAACAGAAGTTCTGAAAGTTCGCGGGCAGAACTTCCACACTGAATACTTCTTTTTGTCGAGCTTTCTATTATTGTAGTACTTTGTCGTGAAGACTTCATGGATCAGAAGGATAGAACTTTATAGAGTGAAAGAGTTTCTAGAGAGGAACTCGGATGAGCACGGAAATGAGAAGAATAACACACTACTTATAGTAGGCTGAACGTAGGGCACCCGACGTCCTTTGAGTAGGGACCATATTTCATCTGTATCTTCCATGTACAAGCTCCGTTTTTTACGTTCTTTATATCCACACTTAGGTATTTTTGAGTACTACAATTTTCATTTGGACTTCATCGGCTAATTCTCTTTCTATCTCTCACTTACAATATGTACCGAATTCACAGTGTCTAAAGAGTGGGGACCATGCAAGTTTCGTACATATCTTTTGCATATGAGCTCCGTTCTCGACATTCTCTATATCGATAAGTTCGTAATTTCATGGACTTTAACTTTCTTTTATATAGTTTTCTCTAATGAGCGACGGATGTTTATTTTGTTCTTTGCGACACATAGTTATGTACTGAGTCATTATGAAAAATTATAACTTCCTCTTACGAAGTCAGGTTTGGGCGTTTTTTCTATGAAGGGTCTTGTATTCACGATGAATACGACTCACCTTTACATTACTTTAGCTAAAAAACAACCTATCTTTAGTTTACGTTTTATGAAAGACATTGTCATTTCGATTTGAGCGCGAAACTTATAAAAATCATAAGTTCCTCGTACGAAGTTAGATTTGGGTGTTCTTTATATACCCACAGAATTGCCATCACAACTACTACAACTTTTGTTAAGATTATTTATCATAAATAATCTTTTATTTTTATTGTTATTTTATTGTTTAACGATAAATTTTATATTAAGGTTTTCTACAAATATTATACCCTAATAATATTTGTTTACATATCGCGTAAACGATAAATATTATTTAGGTCATAACGCGCACGAAGAGCAATGATCCACTTTAAAGGGTTTTAATTGTTTTAATAAACGTATTATATTATTATTATTATTATACATAAAACGTCTAGCCTGAATTTGCGGACATTACATATAGTTTCTTAAATAGACCTATGTATCCAAATACAAGTAACATCATTAGGGTATTCCCTTTTCAACTCTTTAGTTATATCATTTCTTGGTTTAGCAATAGTTTTTTCTGTAAAACGTAATTTATTAGGAGCCTTTCAGGCTCTAACCATGGAGCTACGCCAAATCCTATACTTTTCAGTTCCAAAATCAACATGATCTTTTTTGTTACTACTACTACCAGAATCATCAAAACCCTCCAGAACATATGACAATTAAGAGAATAAACCACTGTCCAAAAAAAAATACACAAAAATAGATAAAGTAGGCAAGCACTACACAAGAATGACTACAGTAAAAAAATTGGTGTTTAGTACCATGAATGGTTTTAGAAAAATAATTGATGTTCATAACTAGGATCCCCAAGCCTAGAAGCACAAAACGAAAAAAGATAGAGATATGCGAAAAAAAAAGCAACCCAAAACAAAGCCTGGTTAGAGAAAGAGAACAATATATCTTATATCAGTCCCAAAGGCACTTTTAGAGTATCATTCAAAATTAATTAACTAATGATTGTCGGCTTGGTGGGGTTTTTAGCCGCAAACTAAGGTGCAAAGGATTAGCAGCTTATTAACCACAAACTGATGTGGAAATTCTAAACTAGCTGGAAGTGCATGTGAAAATGAGTCGCAATATGGTACGTGTTTCTCGTTATGGATTTCTTTATATATTTTATTAAAATTCAAATAATATAATAGTTTTTTTTTTAATATGCATATCTATACAGATTACAGAATATTATGTTGATTTATTAAATTGGTTTAGCAAACGTAATTTGAAATTAATAAATCAGAATAAAAGACAGTTGACATTCTAGAAGGGTATTCTTAGCAAATCCATGACGTGGGGCTTGAGTTGTGTGGAAAGCAAGAAAGCAAATGAAACTTTGGAGACTGGCTTCGTATATCTAATTCAATATTCCATCATTATTTCTTACAATGATATAAAAAACAAATATAATATGAAACTGTTCAAATGAAAATTTCAGGACAAACTTTATAGAGTGTTTTCAGTATTTGCCCTCATATCCGGTGGAAATCAAAGCTGAGGTGTACAATTTCTTTCGATCAAAATTTTCCAAACGCTGGCCTATAAGACCGAAATTCATCAATTCTCTATTTAAGACCCTCTCCAATCAGCACCGTTCTTTTCTTGAATCCCCATTGGCTTGGTAGAAATAAAATCAGCTGTCTGGAAATGCGTTCATGAGAAGGTACCTGGCCTTGACAGCTTCACCTTCAAACTTCTCAAATCACAATGGGTATAAATAAAAAATGCGATGTAATGGCCTTCGTAAAACATTTGGAAACACACGTCACACGGTAAGCTTGCTAACGGGTGCAACTCGTCCTTCATAACTCTTGTGCCGAAAATAAAGGACCCCTTCGCTCTTGGTGATTATAGACCGATATTCCTCATTGGTTGTATTTACAAAATCATCACCAAAGCACTAGCTTGTTGGCTCAAAACTGTGATCAGGTCGGTTATTGTTGACGCCCAATCAGCTTATATAGAAAGTAGGAACATACTCGAGGGACAACTAATCATGAATGAATTATGTTCATCGTCAAAGAAAACTAAAAACAAAATTTTCTTGCCTAGGTCAAATAATATACAAAATATGAACTGACAACCCTAATTCATTATATATATATATATATATATATATATATATATATATATATATATATATATATATATATATATATATAACCTTAATTTTTTGTGGATGGGTCAAAGCCCACTCTTGCCCTATATTGGCTACGCTCCTGGTTCCCTGCTAAAACCAAAGATTGCATCATTACTTTGACTTTCAACTAAGTTAAATTTAGGGGTAATCTTGGTGCTTGTAATTGGGCGGACCGGACATGTTGCCCTTTCAATATTTTGTAATCTTCTTTTATGTTTCCTTTCGCCCTGCTTTTTGTTCTCTTAGGTTGGGGCTTTGTATTGTTTTGTTTCGACTTTTATAAAATCGTCGTTTCCAAAAAATAAAATTTTCTTTGTCAAAGATGGTTTAGATGAGGCATTCGCCTCAGTTAATTGGAGCTATCTCAATTTGATGATGGAGCAAATGGGATTCGGTAACATTTGGAGAACATAGATTATGCGATGTCTTACTTCCTCTCGGATACTAGTTCTTGTAAACGAGTCCCCCACATTAAAATTTTCAATCACAAAAGGAGTTCGTCGAGGTGATCCCTTATCCTCCTTCCTCTTTACTATAGTTATGGAAGGTCTAAATATAGCCATGAAAATTGCATGTGAGCGAGGTATCTTCCGGGGAGTCACGACTCCTAACAAAGGTCTTCTTATATCACATTTATTCTATGCCGAAGACGCCATATTTGTAGGGGACTGGAGCTGCCAAAATATCTTAAATCTAGCCCGCATATTTCATTGTTTAC